TATAAGAAGAAAAGCTACCTGTACCATGACAAAGTCTTATTACTGAATTTATTAGGTCCTACTAATCCCATATATCTTGAAAAAAAGCAAAAATGCACACCAAATAAAAACTCAGGTCTCAAGAGGTTAAAGAGAAACTGCCCTGAATCTCTCCTCCTGGCCTCTGAGGCGTTGACAGGACTCGGTGTTAATTGAACTTCGCTCGATTGGCTGCTGACCGTTTAGATTTTCTGTGGAGCTCATCAGATAAGCGGACATTGATTTGGGATATTAGAACTGGCATGGCTCGCACGTTAAACTAATTTGAGGCAAAGTGGGTTGAGCAGAATTAATTCAGATTCCGCCAATAAAACAGGAGCATCGCTGCGGTTTAGATAGAAATCATTTAATGTGATTTAAATTAATTTGGCTTTGCTTGGGGGCCGATTTGACCCGCCAACTCGCCTCCAAGAAATACGTACAATTTTTATCAGGGGCTTGGCGTCGGTTAAATGATTCTGGCGCAGTGTTGATGATGGATAACAGAGCTGAATGGAAATTAAGGACTAATATAAATGTGTATGGGAGATGTTTTTCCCCCTTCATAATGTACATCCTCAAGTCTTACATTTTGTGAGTATCTGAGACATTAAAAAAGCTTTTTATCTGTTTGATTGTTGGAGTTTCACATGTGAAATTTAAAAAAAAAGCCGTGTGGAGGCTTTGGATGTTCATGAACACATCACTATAGTTTTACCTCTTTTATCTGTTTTCCCCCGTAATAAAAGGTGATTGTTTAACCCTATAAAGCCAAATGTGTCATATCTGATCCGGTTTCTTTTGGATCTGAGACTTTTTGCATCATTCAGTGGTAAAAGCTAAATTAAAAATATCAAAATATCAAAATAATTTCTGTTTTTTTTTTCTTCATATGTTGTTGAGGGGCCAAAGAAAGACTTCAGACTAAAAAAATCCAATATTCTTCCTATTTTTCTAGTCTTTAAAGGGTTAAAACAGAATAAAAGCCCTCATTAGTGACATGATGGAGTGATCAAAAAGGTTTATTTTCAGAATTTATTTTCTTAAAATGTACATTGTTAGAATATATTCATGTTAAGCAGAATTAAATCAGAAGAAAGTTTCTGACAGATAACTGAAACACGTCAGAACGTGAGAGCATAATAAAGTTTCTCGTCCAGGTTTAAGCAGAGTAATAATAGAAAAATATATTTATAAAGTTGTTGTTGTTGTTTTAGTTTGGTTTATTCTCTAAAGTGCACACCGTTGCTATGACAACGGCAGGTCTGTGTGGACACCAGGAGGATTATGATGAGTTAGTTGGTTTAGTTTAGTTCTGTAGAGAAAAGATCCACAATTTATAGAATCCAGAATAACAAAACCTCAGTTTATGAATAACAGAACAGCCTTCATCCTCCCTCCTCCTCCTCTTCCTCCTCTTCCTCCTTCTTCCTCCTCCTCTTCCTCCCTACTCTTTCTCCCTGGAGATCAATAAAGTATATTCAATCAATCAATTCAATTCAATCAATTCTTCCTCCATCCTCCTCTTCCTCCTTTCTCATCCTCATCCTCCTCCTCCTCCTCATCCTCATCCTCCTTCCTCCTCCTCTTCCTCATCCTCATCCCTCCTTCTCCTCTTCCTCCTCCTCTTCCTCTTCCTCATCCTCCTCCCCCTCTTCCTCCCTCCTCTTCTTCCTGCCTCCTCTTCCTCCCTCTTCCTTACTTATCCTCCTCTTCCTACTCTTCCTCCTTCCTCCTCGTCCTTCCTCATCCTCCTCTTCCTCCCTCCTCTTCTTCCTCCTCCTCATCCTCCTCCCCCTCTTCCTCCCTCCTCTTCCTCCTCCTCCTCCTCCTCCTCCAGGTGATGGCAGATACGGATAATTTTATTGTTCAGCTCGGCTTTTTTTTTAAATCTCTTTCTTATTTTACAAATCAACAACAGAGACTTTCTGCTACTTTATCTTCCACTGATATGTTTCCAGACTTTTCTCTCTTTTGTCTCTTTTGCAATAATTCTGTTCTTTGTGTTCACCAAAGTAATTACTTTCTTTTTTTTAAAGTTACAACAAAAATGTCTTTACACCCTTCGTTGACATAAAAAAAAAAAATGTTCATAAGGACAGACTAGTATGTAACTGGACTATAATGACTTACTGTAGCATTGCATGCTACAACTTAATCCATGTAAATGACTGATTGTATTATTCCTGTTTAGATTGATATTATCCCCTTTCTAATTCTACTTTTGGGTTAAACTCTCTGGCTGTGCCTCCTCCTCCTCTCTCTGTTACAGTATCTATCTATCTATCTATCTATCTATCTATCTATCTATCTATCTATCTATCTATCTATCTATCTATCTATCTATCTATCTATCTATC